GGGTTTCCCATTCTTCAAGAGTTGGTGCACTATCTGATCTGTTGACATGGGTGTTAGTTTATGAGGGGTCATTGCTCAACCGTCTTAGCAGCTTGCATGCCTTCTGGCTGCTCCTGCCCATGTTGACTTCAGTTATCAGCTTTATCCACTGTTCTTTCTTGGCTTCAGAGATGGAGAACAAAATGCTCTGTGCTGCCTGAAGAGTTTGCTCACTAAATCGGTCTTTGTTGTGGAGCCTGTAATAGTCTTCCAACAAGACAGATGCTTCAGGAGTCATGCCCTGAAGGTAGTGTGTTCTGCAACCTCTCGGTACAAAGACCCTTGAGCAGGTTTTCACTATTTCAATAAAGTGCTCATATTTCTCAGGGTTTGGCACGACTGATATGATTATGTCATCTAACATGTCTGAGAATTGAGTCCAATCTGCCTTTCTGAAGTTGAATCTTTGTTTAAATCTAACTTCCTGAGGCCTTATAGTTGGGAACAGTTGGCATACTATTCATTAGCACTGGGTGTTTGGTATTGGTGGTCCCACTGATTTAGTGCATTGCTGTACAATTCTGTCACTCACAAATAAGAGGTCTGGGTTATATCCTCGGTGCCATCTCCCACTGTTGTTGGATGGTGGGAGCTTACTATCATGAATGAGTGACAGTTCATGCAGTTCAGACCACGAGAGGACAGCCTCTCCATTTTTATCCTCTTGAGCATAGGCTGTTGAAGTCACCAATTACTACCGCCCTTTGGTGCCTAACAAAGTTCTTGGGAGAGGAGAAACAAAACTCTTCATTTGGGGGCTTGTACACAGAGTTATTGTGATGTTATTAAGCTCTACTGTTATAACCTCTATATTGTTTTCTTCAGTGTTATGGGCACTGCTGCCTTGGAGGCCTGGTTTTACAAAGACAGCACTTCCATACTGCACATGTGGTCTTTCTGCTACTAAGGTCATTCCTGGAACTTTTGGTCATTTCTGTTGTTTATCCCTGTTTCTTGGACACACAGAACATCACATTTCTTATTTCAGCACAGTCCATAGAGCAGTTGTTCTTTGGCAGCTGGCATGCCTTCAATGTTGATTGAGATTATTGTCATGGTTGGTCCTGAAAAGTCCATTGGTTGGTTTGCTTATTTGGTTGCATGCTGAAAGTTGCTTCTGGTCACTTCTGGAGAGAGAGAATCAGTGGTCTATGGAGATGTTGCCCAGGGGACACCCAGATGTCTTGCAATCCTGTGGGGAAGCTTCTCTCATGTCTCTCTCATTTGGCTCTTAATGAGACATTCCACATTATCACAGGGCAGGCATGTATCGGGGGGGGGGGGGGCTTGAGGGGCGTCAGCCCCCCCCCCGAAATTCTCATGGTGGTTCGCGAAAAGGCCTTACTGGTGCATTATTTAAACTGTTATGTTTATTCATATCATGATCTGATCACCATACTCAATATATCCCATATGCATGGGGGTATTGGGGTAATGATACAAAAGGTTTGCTAGGGTAGACCCTCTTTCACTCAGACTCAGCCCCCCCAAAACTCAGCCCCCCCGAAACCCCCCTGAAAAAAATTCAGCCCCCCCCCCCCGAATCGAAATCCTGGCTACGGGCCTGTCACAGGGTGTCTGTGCCCTACACCACTGGAGAAATTACCCTGCAATAGCCAGTATTGCACCATCTGACATCTACCACTTCACTCATTTATTCCTCTGCTAATTCGAAATAAAAAAAATGGACAAGGACAAGCCCAGAGACTTTCAGACATCACAAACCTTTTAAACAGCTTAAGATAGATGAACTATTTGGGGAAACCGTGAATACTGCAGATTTGAATGCTTTACTTATCGATAAAATCTTCTTGTCCCTGGATAAAGAAGACATAAACTTAAGTATCAACTTGGTAGTCTATCACTAAGGAGTGTCCTTGGAATCATGCGGGGCAGATATGTCTGAGACAAACTCACTAATTACTGAGATAAATCAGCAAGCTGAGCTACAACAAACATACTCCTATAGTGTAGTGATGAAGCAATGTTTACTGACTGTAATATCCATTTTTGAAAGTCTAGGGAAAATTATAAGTCAACTTGAGCAACTTAAGCTTTCTTTTGACTCCTTTGCTCAGCAAAATACAGCCCTAAAAGAAAACATTGTTCAAGCCAACAGCATGGAGCCCAGAAGAGAGGCAAATACAATGGATAGTCCTTCACAAATGCTCCTGGGGGCTGCTCAGTAATTCATATAGAACTATTAGAATATATTTGGGTCAGCTACTAAATATACACTCTCAAAGTGTTGATTTGCTTAAAGCCAGGTGGCTACCCCAAGTATCTGCAGATAAGAAAATTGTATTGACTTTTGAGCAATCGACATTACTGGCTATGCAGATGAAGGTTTTCCTGCTCAACTTCCAAATAGTTCCAATGAGGGTTTTCTGTGACCTGAACATCACCCCACTGATAACTCCCATGTATGGTGATGTAGAGGATGTAGTCAGTACCTCCCACTAACCCCCAGGAAGATCTCTCGCAAGACTCAGCTGCAGTCTAGTCTGGCCAAGGCCGACAATATGCCAACACAGAACCCTATGGATCCAGGTGGTTCAGCCTGTGGTGAATGGCAAGACATTGCCTTTGGATTGGAGAACATGGTGTCTACTATCAGCAGCATGGCTGAGCCATTGGTGGGCCTAATATCCACTGATAAGCCCTCACATCCTGAGATGGATTTGGAAGCAGGCCTTGTTAATGACCTACTGATGTTGAATGAGGAGGATGAGACCACCACCCTGTCTCCAGTTCAGTCCTTGATATCCAGGAGGTATGGTGGCAAACCCCCTATTGATGAACTGTCTCCCAGGGAAGGAATAAGTGCACTGTCAGCATCAGAGCAGAATAATCTTTCCATCAAAAAACAGCAGCAACAACAACAACATTCGTAGGAACCCAGAGAGGAGAAAAGAGATCCCTGTAACTGTAATAACTGTGGATTCAGTGGGGATATTGGTGGCATCGTACCAGCCTCAGATACAAACTGACTGCTAGAATTTTCACAGATACAACTAGGTCAGCCAGAACACTCAGAGACAGTAAGACCCATTCAGATTGTAACTTGCAATGTAGCTGGCTGGAAAGAGATTGTTGATTGTGAATTGGTGAGATTCTTATCTGATTTTGAGATAATAGCACTACAAGAAACTTGGTTAATAGGAGTTGATGATTCAATACAGTGACCTGGATTTCAATGTTGGTATGCACCTGCTCAGAAAAGAGGGAATAGAGGGTGTGCCTCATGGAAGGAATTACAGTGGCAAGAGGAGAGATTGCTCAAGGGGGATGATATCAACAACATATTGGCCATTAAATTCAGTAATGAAGAAATGGAGCTTATACTGATAAATGTCTACATCCCACCACTCACATCCTCCTATTATAGTCCTGATTTCTGGGTACAGCTAGAAATAATAGTGGAAGAACTAACAGTGATGTATACACAAGCAATAATTATTTTACTTGAAGATTTTAATGCTAAATTAGGTCCATCCATCCACTATCTAGCGCAATACAGTGGTCTTCCACATGATTTTATTAACAATCACCCACAATGATACCCCAGAGACAAAATAATCAATAGGGCCGATATAAGTCTGATATTATTGATTTCTAAGTGTAATTTTCAAATCCTAGAAGCTAAAAATAATACCAATAATAATTATGTATATTCTTAAAATTTTCATTCCAGCCACACAAGCAGTGCTTTAGTTTTTATATGTGTTTCAACATGTAAGGCCGATCTTTTTTCACAGATTAATGTGCTTTTGAGGGGAGAAAGTGACCACCATCCAGTGTGTAAAATTTTTGAAATGGCTAAGTCGTTTTAAACATACTTTTCAAACAGCCCAACATCTAAAGACAGAAATGCCTAAACATCTCAGGAGGGTATATACCAGAACTAGATTTGAACAATGGTCAAACATGGAAGGTTTAACCAAGTTCCATATAATGAATGATTTTGTATCTGTGGAGCATCAGCGGTAGAAGATATTGCACATATACTGTTAACTTGTACAAAAAAGAGAGAAACCAATACCTCTGGCCATACATTATTTAAAAAAACACATTGGGATCCGTATATTAAAACTACATTTTTATTGGCCGGCCAGAATGTTAAAATAATATACAGGATGGCCCTTTTCCTATTTAAAGCAACACAGCTAAGAACTGAATATTTAGAGTCAATTGGGGTAAACTGTAGGGGTGATGCAGATATTTGATCTGGATTGGAACCTTTTAACAGCTTGTATTGTCAAAGGCTTTCATGGTCAGAATCACTGGGTTGTTGTAGGTTTTTCAGGCTGTATGGCCATGTTCTAGAAGCATTCTCTCCTGATGTTTCACCTGCATCTATGGCAGGTATCCTCAGAGGTTGTGAGGTCTGACAGCTTCTTTATTTAAACTTATGTTGTGCTGTATGTGTATGTGTTTGTCAAATGTTTTTGATACGGCCAATGGGCTATTCAATAAAACATACTTACTTACTGGGTGTTGTCTCCGGGGTTTTGTAGGGCACTAGATATCTCTGATTGGGAATTCTTAGCACAACACCCTAAACAGTAAGTCACCAGATTTCACAAGATGTTACCATGGCAGTTATAGTAGAATCATAGTGCTATAATTCAGTAATGCCCTACCTGTAAGGATTTTCAACCTTTAACACTGGCAGGAATAGCTCCCTGGCCAATTCAGTAGCCCCTGTAAAGAAATCTATATTTACAATCTGTACCAGTAAAGTCTCTTGCTCCAAATCATATTTCACCTATTTGAAGGTCAACCCTTAGCAAATATAACCAATATTATGGTTAAGGAGCAATCAGACTAAGACCAGATGGAGGCCATGGGGGTCCAGCAAGAGAACAACTGAAAAGAAAGGCGGGGGGGGGGGGTGCTTTGATCTTTGTACTGGAGGTGTCTTGACTTGGTTTGAAAAACAGCTGTCTGTATTCCAACAGGTAGAGCTATTGCCAGAAAGGGATTTGGACAATGATGGAACAAAGATAAGCGTAAGTATGTGTCAACATATAGACTGCTGCTACATTCGTAATTGCTTTTCACTTCCTTTTGCTCCTTTTAATTAAAAACCATCTAAAAGCCATGAGCACTAGACTTATGAATGACATTTATTTATTCTGCCTTTATCCATATCTTTAAGACAAAATATTGCATTACATGTAAAAAAATGCATTTTCTTGAAAGAGGCAATCTATCTCTTAACAGTCTCTGTCAATATGGATGAATGGATGAATGCCCTGTAAAGATGGGTCTGCTTCTCTCCTGAAGTAAAACATTTGAGTTTTCTTTTCTTTTTTGATTAAGTAAACTTTTAAGAAGATAGCTTCCCAATTGCTCGTAGAATAATATACATCCCTTGGATCTACAAACAAAACCTATACAGATTGTTGATTTTATAGGTGTATTGTGTTGACTCTTTAGCTATTGATAATCCAAGCTGGTCAAGGAATTCTCCTTGTGGTGCCACAACTATATGTAGCTATGCACACACGATTTCACACATCTCACAATGAACTGGAAGCATGTTCATACACCACAATTTCTAGTATACGTAGGGATAGGCTCACTATATCTCATGGCACACACACAAAATGCTAGCACATTAAACGTCAGTGATAATAAGATTGTACTCTGTGACTTGGTAAGGTTTAGGATGGGTAGGGAGAGCAGGCAGCATATGGTCCTTAGGTTCAAAAAGGTATTTGAAATTTTTTTTTGAAAAACTGTGGCTCCCAAATCCCCCATAGGGGATGTGGGGGCAATTGCATCACAGTTTTGTCCCCACATTCATTTAAGCCTCATAGGGATGCTTTTTTTGCACAAACATTGATTTTTAGATAACTTTTTGATGTGAAACAGCTGTCTCCTGGGTCTCAAATGGTTCAGGGGCAGATATGTGAAAATGTCTCCTCACATTTCCTACAAAGCTTTTGGAACCAACACATTTTTATAAAGGGGGGTGGGTACTACCCTCTAAAGATTTGCGGAGGCTTCAGATGCCCAGAATATTTTTAAAACTTTGTTGAACTACTACCTGATGGAATGTAATAGAATCCATGGACATTTCTTAGAAATGTATTTCTCTCAGTCTCAAAGATACTTCTGAATTCCTTAGTATATTCCTGTGCTAATACAGGCTAATACATATATGTTTCTGATTGCTAGAATCTGTGATCAGTTCCTGATTTATAATAGTTTTATTCAGGGCAAAATCTGCTTCATTGACAAACAATACATTTACTGCAAATATTTTACAAGATGGAATTCAATCAAGCTCAATTCTTTATCTATTGAATGTTGAACATAATGTATTTGTGGCATAAATTTCCATAATGGTTGGTCAGCACAGCAAAAATATCAATTTGATGCCAGTTATGGGTTTCGTAGAGAAGCACTTCCCATGCAAAATGCCTTAAATTTTTAAGTGAAGACCAAAAAATTAGATACTATTGCTAATTCAAGAAATATTCTGCACTGGGGCTGAGACGAGGGGTAACTGCAACGTGGGTGGTGGATTGTCTATGTACATATTTGTATATGTATATTGTAGGTGTATTATAATATTAAAATAAATAAATAAAATAACATATTCTGCATATAAGTTGTATATTTGTGCAGGAAACAGTATTTTCTACATGGAAAGTAACATTTTGCGTAAAACAACAATGTGCAAACTTTGTGTAGAATAGGCTCTGAACTGTGAAGATTTTCATCAATCCAGGTGTTGTGGCTCAGCTGGAGCCTCAGGAAGAGCAGGAAGAGGATGATGGGTTTCAGATTCTTGAACATGTTCCTATTGTTGATACAGACGATGTTGATGCTGAAAACGAGGAGTTCCAGTTTCCCATGGGAAGGGATGTTGTCTTAGAAGATGGAAAGGATGGCTTCCGTTCCTCTCCTCTATTTTTTAAAATGTTTTCTATTGTAATGGTATCCTTCTAATCCATCGAAATAAACTTACTTTATATACATACACAAACCATTACATTTTTGCCCCATTCCCCCCCAACTTTACAACAAAGCATTTTTAAGTGCAGGCAGTCCAGGATTCTGTCCATTTTTTCCTTTATCCGATCATTAACATTTCACATATCTTAACCAGTTCTCTTTGATTCTTTGTATTTTTATAGACCATGATACATATTGATGTATTATTCCCATAATATCCAATTGTACTTGTTCATAAGTGTATTTGTTCCATCTGTCCATGGTCCATTTCTTTAATCCTTTCATCCCAATGTTATTACAGCATGAGCAGCTTTAATGATCACCATCATAGAATCATAGAATCAAAGAGTTAGAAGAGACCTCATGGGCCATCCAGTCCAACCCCCTGCCAAGAAGCAGGAATATTGCATTCAAAGCACCCCTGACAGATGGCCATTCCAGCCTCTGTTTAAAAGCCTCCAAAGAAGGAGCCTCCACCACACTCCAGGGCAGAGTTCCACTGTTGAACGCCTCTCACAGTCAGGAAGTTCTTCCTCATGTTCAGATGGAATCTCCTCTCTTGTAGTTTGAAGCCAATGTTCCACGTCCTAGTCTCCAGGGAAGCAGAAAACAAGCTTGCTCCCTCCTCCCTGTGACTACCACTCACATATTTATACATGGCTATCATATCTCCTCTCAGCCTTCTCTTCTTCAGGCTAAACACGCCCAGCTCCTTAAGCCGCTCCTCATAGGGCTTGTTCTCCAGATCCTTGATCATTTTAGTCGCTCTCCTTTGGACACATTCCAGCTTGTCAATATCTCTCTTGAATTCTGGTGCCCAGAATTGGACACAATATTCCAGGTGTGGTCTAACCAAAGCGGAATAGAGGGGTAGCATTACTTCCTTAGATCTAGACACGATGCTCCTATTGATGCAGGCCAAAATCCCATTGGCTTTTTTTGCTGCCACAACACATTGATCTTTTTCACACGTACTGCTCTCAGGCCAGGCGTCCCCCATTCTGTATCTTTGCATTTCATTTTTTCTGCCTAAATGGAGTATCTTGCATTTATCACTGTTGAACTTCATTTTGTTAGTTTTGGCCCATCTCTCTAATCTATCAAGATCGTTTTGAATCCTGCTCCTGTCCTCTGGAGTCTGCAAACTTGGTGATCATGCCTTTTAGCCCTTCATCTAAGTCATTGATAAAGATGTTGAACAGGACCGGGCCCAGGACGGAACCCTGTGGCACTCTACTCATCACTTCTTTCCAGGATGAAGAGGAAGCTTCAAAGTTTATTGGTCTTCTTTCTTCAGCGTTTGTAGGCCCAACGTTCCAATTTCCAACAGTCCTGGCCCAATGTACAAATTCTCCTTGAATAACCCATTTATTTGTTCTAATACCCACTTCCAGAATCTCTGCACTTCCCCACATTTTCCCCACATATGTGTAAACCATCCCTTCCCCTTTTTACAATGCCAACTGTTTGAGCTGGACCCTTTTATCATATATTCTAGCTGACCTGGGGTTCTATTCCACTTCCGTTCCTCTAAGGAGGAATTCACCTACTATCAAGACCTGCTTCCTTTGAGGATTGACAGGGTACCTTTTGTGCACGGTAGTGTGTAGGTCACCAGAAAAGTGATCCTACTGAAGTGGATTGTGTAGGTGTAAAGTGTTGTCCTCCTCCTTGACATCCCTAGTGCATTCATCACGGACAATCCATTTAGATTCGTCCAAGAGCCTATCATTTTCCTGAGTGTGTTCCTTTTGCGCCTGGTCTATGATTGGGGATGGAACATCTGCATGATTGTGTAAATGTGAATGTTGTGAAGTGTTGTTCCAGTTAGGGCTATTCCCCACACACTGATCAAGGACACTCCACTGAGCAGTATCTAAGTCATTGTGGTCTTCCCCAAGGTGTTGCATTTCCTGGTAAGGTGTTAGTTGTGTAAGAATTTGGAATCTATTGTGTAACTGCAGTGGAGCAGAAGTATTCTGAGGAGGCTTCCTGGTCCTATGTTCTAAGGGTGACATTCCTCCAAGCCTGAGGGCTGTCCAAATCTGAAGTGATCTCCTCATAAGCCTCCCCATAATGTTGGTGTGATGTGGGTTGCTTGTCAAGGACAGTGTGCTGTGTGGTGTCCAAGAACAGCTAGAGTTCCTGAATGTCCTTAAGGGTCCTAATATGGTCCCCAAGTTGTTGGATCCTCTGTTCCATGCGAGTCATCTGTTTACACTTGGTGCAGATGTAATTGAGTAGTTGTTTTGTGAAGAAGCTGAATATGCCACAGCTTGTACATGAGATGGGAATGTTTTGTGTTTGTTTCATCTGAAGACTGCTAATAACCTCCCCTTTTGTCTGTTTGTTTCATGTTGTTTTCTGTATGCAGGGGTAAAGGTGTGGGTTAGTGAGGGTGTGAGTAGTGAGTAGTCATGGGCGATTTCAACTATTCCGATGTTTGCTGGAAAACAAACTCGGCCAAGAGTACAAAGTCCAACAAATTCCTTGCTTGCTTTGCAGACAATTCCATGGTCCAGAAGAGGCAACAAGGGGGTCGGCTACTCTTGATCTCATCCTAACAAATGTGGAGAACCTGATCAATGAGGTTGAAGTGGTCAGATCTTTAGGGGCAAGTGACCATGTGCTCCTACAATTTGAGGTGCAAAGGAAAGCTGAAACTAAGACAAGTCAAATTCGCCTTCTGGATTTCAGGAGAGCCAACTTCTAAAAAATGAAGGAAAGACTGAGCAGCATTCCGTGGACACTGATACTAAAAGACAAGTTACTGATGGATGGGAGTTTTCCAAGAGTGAAATACTCAAGGCACAATTGCAAACAGTGCCAACAAAAAGAAAAATTAGGACAAGTGCAAAGCAGCCAGAATGGATGTTTAAAGAACTTCTAACTGGGCAAAGACTCAAAAGACAGAAGCACAAGAAGTGGAAAAAGAGAGAAATTACCAAAGAAAAATTCAAAGAAATAGCCAACTCCTTTAGGGAAAAGGTCCACAAGGCTAAAGCACAAAACGAGCTCAGGCTTGCCAGGGACATTAAAAACAATAAAAGGGCTTCTTTTCTTATGTCAGTAGAAAAAAGGAAGAACACGGAGACGATAGGGCCTCTTCGAGGAGAATCATAGAATCATAGAATCAAAGAATTGGAAGAGACCTCATGGGCCATCCAGTCCAACCCCCTGCCAAGAAGCAGGAATATTGCATTCAAATCACCCCTGACAGATGGCCATCCAGCCTCTGTTTAAATGTTTCCAAAGAAGGAGCAATGCTGACAGGGGATAGAGAAAAGGCAGAAATACTTAATGACTTCTTTACCTCAGTCTTCTCACAAAAAGAAAGCCATCTTCAACCTCAGCAAGATGGAGTGGATGGGGGATTAGAGGACAACCAACCCCCAATTGGGGAACAGGTCACCCACGAATACCTGGCAGCTCTAAACGAGTTCAAGTCCCCAGGGCCAGATCAACTACACCCAAGAGTATTGAAGGAACTAGTAGAAGTCATCTCGGAACCATTGGCAATCATATTTGAGAGTTCTTGGAGAACGGGAGAAGTCCCAGCAGATTGGAGGAGAGCAAATGTGGCCCCATCTTCAAGAAGGAAAAAAAGGATGACCCAAACAATTACCGTTCGGTCATCCTCATATGGATACCAGGCAAAATTCTGGAACAGATCGTTAAGGAAATGGTCTGCAAACACTTAGAAACAAATGCAGTCATCTCTAATAGTCAACACCGATTTATCAAAAACAAGTCATACTGGACTAATCTGATCTCTTTTTACAATAGAGTTACAAGCTAGGTAGATGTGGGGAATGCCGTGGATGTAGCATACCTGGATTTCAGTAAGGCCTTCGACAAGGTCCCCCATAACCTTCTGGCAAACAAACTAGTCCAATATGCGCTAGGCAAAACTACGGTTTGGTGGATCTGAGGGTGCTCATCAATGCTTCTTCTTCATCCTGGAAATATGTGGCAAGCGGAGTGCCGCAAGGTTCTGTCCTGGGCCTGGTTCTGTTCAACATCTTTATTAATGACTTAGGTGAAGGGTCAGAAAGCATGATCATCAAGTTTGCAAACAACACCAAATTGGGTGGGATAGCAAGTACTCCAGAAGTCAGGAACAGAATGCAAAAAGATCTTAACAGATTAGAGAAATGGGCCAAAGCTAATGAAATGAAGTTCAACAATGACAAATGCAAGATACTCCACTTAGGCAGAAAAAATGAAATGCAAAGATATAGAATGGGGGACACCTGGCTCGAGAGCAGTACGTGTGAAAAAGATCTTGGAGTCCTCATGGACAACAAGTAAAACATGAGTCAACAATGTGATGTGGTGGCAAAAAAAGCCAACAGGATTTTGTCTTGCACCAATATGAGTATAGTGTCTAGATCTAGGGAAGTAATGCTACCCCTCTATTCTGCCTTGATTAGACCACATCTAGAATACTGTGTTCAATTCTGGGCACCACAATTGAAGGGAGATTTTGACAAGCTAGAATATGTCCAGAAGAGGGCAACTAAAATGATCAAGGGTCTGGAGAACAAGCCCTATGAAGAGCAACTTAAAAAGCTGGGCATGTTTAGCCTGAAAAAGAGAAGGCTGAGAGGAGACATGATAGCCATGTATAAGTATGTGAGAGGAAGTCATAGGGAGGAGGGAGCAAGCTTGTTTTCTGCTGCCCTGGATACTAGTTCGTGGAACAATGGCTTCAAACTACAAGAAAGGAGATTCCATCTGAACATTTGGAAGAACTTCCTAACTGTGAGAGCTGTTCAGCAGTGGAACTCTCTGCCCCAGACTATGGTGGAGGCTCCTTCTTTGGAGGCTTTTAAACAGAGGCAGATGTCAGGAGTGCTTTGTATGCAATTGTCCTGCTTCTTGGCAGGGGGTTGAAGCAGATGGCCCAAGAGGTCTCTTTCTCTTTCAACTCTCTTTCAACTTTATGATTCTATGATTAAGATCAAGCCAGTCCATACTGCAGGAAATAAACCCCAGTTGCTCACTGGAGGGAAGGATACTAGAGTCAAAGATGAAATACTTTGGCCACAGAGAAGACAGGATAACTTGGAGAAGTAATGATGCTGGAAAAAAATGTAGGGAAAAAGGAAGAGGGGGTAAAAAGGGGTAAGATGGAAAGAGCTGCTGGTGGCAATGGCCGACAGGGAGCTCTTGGTGTGGGCTGGTCCATGAGGTCATGAAGAGTCAGAAATGAATGAAAGAATAAACAACAATAACCCAGTTACACAGAAAAAATTAAATGCAGAGATACAGAATGGGAGATGCCTGGCTAGACAACAGTCCATGTGAAAAATATCTTGAAATCTTTGTGGACAACATGTTGAACATGAACCATCAATGTGATGAAGCAGCTAAAAAAGCCAATTGGATTTTGGGCTGCATCAAAAGGAGTATAGTGAGGGAAATCATGGTGCCCCTCTATTCTACTTTGGTTAGACCTCACTTGGAATACTGTGTCCAGTTCTTGGCACCATAATTTTAAAAGAGACATCGACAAGCTGGAAGGTGTCCAGAGAAGGGCAACTAAAATGAGCAAAGGTGTGGAGTCCATGTCCTATGAGGAGCATCTTAAAGAACTGGATATGTTTAGCCTGCAGAACAAAAGGTTGAGAGGAGACATGATAATCATGTATAAATGTGTGAAAGGGTATCATAAGGAAGACGGAACAGGCTTGTTTTCTGCTGTCCTTGAAACTAGGGCTCAGAGCAATGGGTTCAAATTACAGGAACGGAGATTCCACCTGAACGTTAGAAAGAACTTCATGACCATATGAGTTGTTCAACAGTGGAACTCTTAGAGTATGGTGGAAACCCCTTCCTTGGAAATTTTAAAACATAGACTGGGTGGCCATCTGTCAGGGATACTTTGATTGTGCTTTTTTGCATGTCAGGGGGTTGGACTAGATGGCCCATGTTGTCTCTTCCAGCTCTATGATTCCATGATTGTGTGATATGAGATTTAGAAATATTGTAAGTAAAGGTCTTCCTTCTTTGAAAAACTGTTTCAGGATGTTATTTCTTGATATAGTCAATTGTTCAGAAATGATTAAATAAATACAAATAAAATGTTATATTATATTATACTAGCTGTTGCTGTTTCCTAGCCTTAGTAGTCGTAACAATGGTTTCTCTCTTTTCCCCTCCTCTTCTTCTTCTTCACCTCCCGTCCCTTCTTCACAACAATAATAATAATGCTTTTTCTCTTTCCTTCTTCACCTCTCCCCTCCTCCTCTTAGTAATAATAATGATAATGTTTTCTCTCTTTCCCTTCCTCTTCTTCTTCACCTCCCTACTGCTCTTCTTTAACTTAGTGCTAATATACCGTATATACCCGAGTATAAGCTGACCCGAATATAAGCTGAGGCACCTAAATTTACCACAAAAAACTGCAAAACCTTATTGATTCAAGTATAAACCGAGGGTGAGAAATTTAGCTTGTACTGGTAATCATCTATAGGTTAAATGGTTTTGAGTATTTACGTACAACTTTAGTTTAAGATAAGACTGCCCAACTCTGATTAAACCATTATTCTAACCTCCTTCAATGTAAATGTGCTTACCTATTAGCAATACTGATAGAGTAAAATAATAAATGCAATAACATGTAATAAAAATAATAATGGAGTAAATAATGGAAATTTAATAATATTGGTAATAATAAAGTAATAAATGTAATAATAAATAGAGTAAAATAATCAATGAATAAAAATAATGCTAATAACAGAGTAAAATAATAAATAACCTTGACTCGAGTATAAGCCGAGGTGAACTTTTTCAGCCTAAAAAAGGGGCTGAAAAACTAGGCTTATACTCAAGTATATACAGTAATTGTACACAACATAGTGGGATATAAATAAAGATTATTATTATTATTATATTATCAATGCATTTATATAATATCAGATTTGTTTATTTGTTTTGCATATGCTTCAAATATTTATACCTAACTTTTGACTGAATTATACTTACGTAAATTTAGAACAGATAGCAATAATGCCACCATCATTATATTCCCCATTCCCTTCACAAAAAGCCACATAACAAACTCACACATATGTACAGTCCAGTTGGACATGACCCTGCGGCCAGTGGGTGGTTCGTTTTTCTTTAGTAACCTCAAATCCCAGGTTTGCTGAATCAGTCTTCTCCCTACCAGAAGGAAGACTCTGACTGGATCTTGAAAATAGTTGGGGCACTTGCTGAATGTAATGCCTGATGCTTTCTTTCTTGAATTTTTACAGACAGTGAAAGTACAAGGGAATGATATCTCCCACAAGCTGCAAATCTCAAAAGTCAGGAAAAAAGATGAAGGGTTGTATGAGTGCAGGGTGACGGATGCCAATTATGGAGATCTTCAGGAATACAAAGCCCAGGCCTATCTCAAAGTCAGTGCAAATAGCCACTCTCGACGGATGCAGGCCTTTGAAGCGTCTCCCATGTGGCTACAAGATAAGCCTCGCAAGAACATCTCAGCAGCCATCCCCAGTAGCATCCATAACTCTGCCAGCCAACGTATACGCCCCACCTTCAGCCCTCCAGCAGATGCCAAAATCCCCAAACAAAGCCCACAATCAGGTATGAGAGAATATTTTGAATACTTGAAGGATTTGTGTGTTAACAATCTTGGGACATGTTTCAAACACTAAGTGAAAGTGGGGGATATTGATGTTAGTAGAACAAAAAAAACAAACTCATCATGCACAGTGCTGTTTTGAATCCAGTGTGACTTAAGGAAATATGCTAAACACAAGCTCATAATTTTGGAACACTTGGTTCTCATCACATCCAAAAGAACACCAACAGCCTAATTGAGCTGGTATGATAAGATCATGCTCTCCCAACCCCCTTCTAAAGCAAAGGTTGCACTGTTTGTTATCCATCAGCTCAAATGTACAATACATAGTATGGAAGCCCATCCCCTTGTTCAAAGCTTACTAATATTAGGTTCTTGTGGGGTTTTTCGGGCTATATGGCCATGTTCTAGAGGCATGCCTCTAGAACATGGCCATATAGCCCAAAAAAACCCACAAGAACCTAGTGATTCCAGCCATGAAAGCCTTCGGCAATACAACTTACTAATATTCCTTTTTTTAGTTTTGCCCTAGTATAACAAAAACAGACATGCCTGGGCAAGATGGACCATATTGTATGTAAAGCTAGTTTGAATTGCTAGTTAAATTGCTATACCACACACCATAGGGGACCAAATAAATATTGTTATTAGGAATATAAGAAAACAAAGAAAGACAAATTATATCAAAATATGCTTTTCTTCTTTTTTTCTTACTTTATTTCCCTGCAGACTCAAGCCTTAACATAATGTGACTTACTGTATTAATTGCCATTAGTTTAGTTTTAGGTGTGGGGGCAACAGCAAACTTCACAACCTATGTTGCATCCAGCTCAATGAAGCCTATCACCTTAGTATTTTACAACCTCCCTGTTGACACTTAAACCATTGAAGCAGGGAAGTGTTTGGCAGAGTGGAGCTCCACTCCATTTTGAAATGAAACAGATGATTTCCCTACCTTCATCATACTGTTAAATGTATCCATGTTATTCAGCATTCTTTGAGTTTATTTGTCATCACACTTCCCCATGTTTTTTTATTGAAAAACACCCTCCCTTCTTTGAAATATCAGCTGTTATGTGCTTAATTTCTGGAAGCAAGGAAGCAGGGGGGTGGAATGAAAGTGGTGATGCACTCTCCCTCCCTCTCTCCCTATTGGCTGTCCCACAGAGAAGGGTGGGGACCTTGGAAAATGATAACTCCAGGGACTGCATAGTATGGAGCTATGGTATTTAAAGTAAGGTCTGTTGCAGTTTACCAGTCTATGCGGAAGTTACCCAGCAGTCTTCCCAGCCCCGCCCCTCTTGTTGAATCACACAGAGACAGAGTAAAAGGAAAAACAAAATTTTATTCTTGAGTAGTCAGGGATAAATATGCAGCTTTACAAAATAACCAGCCTTGAAAATAAACTTAGTCCATTGCAGCAAAATAACTCACTAAATCCAATGCATTAAAAAGCATGCATTCTCTGCTTCTTCCTTGGTGCAAGGAGTCTTGTAGTAAATGGTCCAGGACTTCAGGAAGTCCTGTAGTATAGAAGTTCCATCCGGTCTCTTCTCAAACATCTTATCACTATCTCTGAATACACCAGGAAACACTCCTCATGATATATTCCATTCTGGGAGTGCCTCAAGCTTAATTGTCCAGGTGTTCTGCCTCAACATGCACCCATACAGGCAACGATCCTTGTAAAGACTTAGCATACATATGCACATTGTGTAATAAGGTCCAGCTGCATTCATTTCACAGTGGAGATGCACCCAAAGAAGGTTCATGTACCTTGGGAAATTGCAATTGCCAAGACCATCTCATGGAGACATTGCATTTAAAGAATGGTCCAACTGCAGTCATTCCACAGTGTAAAATGCATCAAGAGAAGAGTATGAACCCTGGGAAACTCTAACTCCCAGGAGGTCTCCATCAAATGGAGCCATGGCATTTAAGTGTGGTGCAAGGGCATTCATTCCATACTGTTAATGCACCAAGAGAAGGGTATGGACCTTGAGAAACTCTAACTTCCAGAAGGTCTCCATCATATGGAGCCATGACATTTAAAGTGGGGTGCAAGGGCATTCATTCCATACTATAAATGCACCAAAAGTAGGGTTTGGACCCTGAAAAAATATGACTTCCAGGACTGCACAGCATTAAGACATGGTATTATTATTATTATTATTATTATTATTATTATTATTATTCCAACTGGCTAATCAATGAAGATTCATAATCAGAAACAAAGTGAACTCAAAGAAATTCATAAAATCTGCAAAGCAAATGATCATCAGGTCACAGTACAGACGATAACAGAAACTCCAGCAACACTTGGAACAGTGGAACTGACTGAACCAGAAGAAAATGTGGACATTTTGCAAGAATTTGAAGAACCAGCACTTGAAGCACTTGTTGAACTACCAGGAACATGGACAGCAAGACAACAAGAGCTCAAGAATAAAATCATGGCCCATGCTGCACCAAATGCAGTAAGAAAGCAACTCCCAACTTTAAAAACATTGCCTAAGAGACAGCTGGCACCTATCTTGAAGGACATTACTTTCTACTGTCCAAATAACATCAATAGAACAACCAAACCAGTTTGCCTACAGTACAGCAGTGATAGTAACAGAAGAGCTTGGGCTCTTACAACTAATGCAGCCTCCAAGAAAATTGAGTGGAAGGTAAGTTTGGAGTTGAAAATAAAAAATCTATGATCAGATGCAAGTAACCTGAAAAATATGAAGGAGAAGAAACTGATGAATGACAAAATCAAGCAATACCTGACTGAACACCAAAAAATTGAAGAAGCTTTGGAAATCGTGAAAGAATAAATTACAGCAACAGCCAGAGAAACTGAAAGATATGAAGCCAGAATCATCCAGTACAGACAAAATCAATTGTTTCAATCAGACCAAAGACGGTTCTACCAGAGTCTGAACCAAACAACAGTTATAAAGCCCAAGAAAACTGCAACAGCTAAGTTTTAGAAAGAAATTAGGGAATATAATAAGAACTACAACAAAAATGTTGAGTGAATAAAGAAGTTTGAAGAAAAATTCTCACAGAACAAAATGGAACAGATTGAAATAACAACTGAAATGATCAGCAAACAAGTGCAAAAAGAACTGGACATCGCTTGAAAGTGATCAACTGCATGGATTTTGACTCAAATATCTGACCAGTCTACATGGAAAAATGGACCAACAATTCAATGAGATGCTGCAAAAAGAAAGTATCAGTGAATGGTTAACAACTGGGAGAACATATCTGATACAAAAGGATCCAAAAGGAGCCGCACCAGGAAACTACAGGCCAATAACATGCCTGCCCACTATGTTTAATCTACTGACAAGCATCATAGCTGACAGAATTCAAGATTATCTTGAAAAAAAGAACATCTTGCCAGATGAACAGAAAGGCAACAAATGGAAAAGCAGGGGCACAAAGGACCAATTATTAATTGACAAAATGATTCTGGAGAACTGCAAAAGCCAAAAAATTAATCTTCACATGACATGGGTTGACTACAAAAAAAGCTTTGCCTCACTCACACACAGCTGGATCATCAAGTGCCTAGATGCCATTGGGATTTGTAAAAATGTTGGCACTTTTATTGAAAATATGACGAAGCACTGAAAAACTGACCTGTTTGTTGGAAATGAATACTACAGACTTGTCAACATCAGGAGAGGAATTTTCCAGGGAGACTCATTGCCCCCACTACTTTTCATCATTGCCATGATCCCTCTGTCAACAATTTCACAAAGAACAAACCTTAGCTATCAAATGTCTAAGAAATCTCACAAAATTTCATATCTGCTGTACAGGAATGGCCTGAAGCTGTATGGGAAAACTGAAACTGAAATCCAGTCTCTGACTAACACTGTACAAATCTTTAGCACCGATATCAGCATGGAGTTTGATTTGGACAAATGTTCAACAGTGGCACTGAAGAAGGGAAAAATTATTCCCTTCTTCAGTGCCACTGTTGAACATTTGGCCAAGTGATAAAATGTCACCAGCCAGAGGCCTATAAATATCTGGCCATACTACAGCTGGATAACATTAAACATGAACATGTGAAAACTACGGTCAACAAAGAATACACTCAAAGGATCAGAAAAATTCTCAAAAGCAAACTCAATGGAGGCAATACCATCAAGGCCATAAACACCTGGGCTATACCTATCATAAGATATACTGCTGGTATCATAAACTGGACATAGGTGGAACTGGACAATTTGAACAGAAAAACAAGAAAACTTTTTTGTCTGTCAGGACTGACTTGAGAAACTGCAAGTCACTTCTGGTGTGAGAGAATCGGCCGTCTAAAAGGACTTTGCCCAGGAGATGCCCGGATTTTTTTGGATTTTTTACCATCCTTGTGGGAGGCCTCTCTCATGTCCCCGCATGAGGAGCTTGAGCTGATAAAGGGAGCTCATCCACGCTCTTGCCGGATTAAAACCTGTGACCTGTCGGTCTTCAGTCCTGCCAGCACAGGGGTTTAACCCACTGCGCCACTGGGGGCTCAAAAAAACTCATGACAATTCATTATTCACTGCATCCTTGCGGTGAGGTTGATCGGCTATATCTGCCTAGAAGGTCTGGTGGCAGAGGACTTTTACAAGTAAAAGAAGCAATCAAAGAAGAAAAACATGCCCTGGCAGAATATGTAAAGGCAAACGAAGAACCTGCTTTGATTGAAGCTAATAATCAAAAACTTCTCAAAGCACAGCAAAGAGTAAGTACAAGAAAACTGCACTAGAAACCAGAGCTGACAGCTGGCACAACAAAGCATTGTATGGGTAGTTCCTTGACAAAACTGAAGGAAAAGTTGACAACAAAACCTGATTATGGCTAATTAATGGAGCACTGAAGAAGTAGACAGAAGGCCTGATTCTTGCAGCCCAAGAGCAAGTGATCAGAACAAATGCAATTAAGGCTAGGATCGAAAAATCAGCTGATGAACCAAAATGCAGACTGTACAAGGAAGCTGATGAAACCATTGATC